TTCTGTTTGGAGGTCTGACACGCCTGCTTGTCAGAACATCTGATCCAGATGCTCCTCTGGCAAACACAGTCTGTAGTTTGCTTCAATTCTGTAAAGCTATTAGGGGATCAAAGAGGTAGAGGTTTGCACCTCGCAAGAATTATTTAAGAGAAAAGTAAAGTTAATGAGATGTTACACTGTGACTTCATTAAGCTAACTCTGGTTGATGTGTGGCTAAAGTGTGGTGATCCTTTAGCAAATAAGGAAAGCACACTTCTGTAATTGGATGTGCTCATTAGTTTAATGCATCACTATAAATTACATCAAAAAGGTAAAATGTCATTATCTGTGATGATCCCATAGTACCTTATTAATATTTTAAACACATACTGTTTAGTGGAATCATGGGAAAAACTCTGGCATTTTGGAAATTCTTTGTGGCTTTTGTTTTTTTGTAAGGTAGAATTTTAGAACTACTGAAGTTTATCTGAATATCTGATTTTTTTTAAGTCCCACTTTTGTGGCACCTATTCCACTGTGGTAGAATTTAAATTGGTCAAAGCCTCTTTTTTACTCTTGAGTTATTCTAGGGTGAGGTAAAGGGATGGTAATGGAGGCAGATGTTCATGGCTCCCTGCATCTGGAGGGCTGAGATCTCTCAATTTCCTTGCACAAAGAAGTTAAGAACAAACAAACCTTCTGAATACTCTGCTAGTGAGTGTCAGCTTTCCTGGCTGGCAACTGGACTTGCTCCCTGACCAAGTGATGACACTGGAAGACAGCTCTGTCTATATATTTCATCAACTATCACCCACTATTCCTGAAGGAGATAAGCATGAGACTCTTGTTCTTTTGATAACTCCTTGAGCATAACTTGTGAGGTTATTGCTTTTAAAATATCTTTCCACTAAGCATTAATTTTATAAAGCAGTGGCTGTAACAGTCACAAGCAGAGGTGCTGTCAAGCCTGACGCCAGTTATAAAATCACTTTGACATCTGAAAGTTTGCTCACAGGAATGTTTTCTTCTCCCTTTTGTAGGAGCAGAGCACAGTTCTGAAGGTGTGGGCAGAAGGAGTGTTCCTTCTCGCTGACAGCTGCTCTTTGTCTAAGGAAATGAATAAGATGCACTTAAAGGATTGTTTTGACAAGCTACTTCTTGTAAGTACAATACCCAGACTAACAGGCCAGGTACTCCAGGATTTTTGCATAGCTTTTGAATGGAAGAAATATACCAAACACTGAAATCAGTACTGTAAAATGTGAATCTTCCTGAGTGAAAGATTCTGATTTTCTTGATTCTGACCTAAAGCAGAAGGTTGAAATGTTTCAAGTCCTAATTCCCTCTGCTCGAGACTATGACCAGCCATACTGAAGCTGAGGCATCAGGTCTACCTGAGTGCTGCTATGAGATTCAGTCTCGCTTGCGAGCTGTCTGAAGACCATGTCGAATCATAGAACGATTTAGGCTGGAAAAAAATATTTAAGATCATGTAATCCAAAAGTTAACATAATATGACCAAAGCCAGCACTAAACCCTGTTCCCTAAGGGTCATGTCTACCTGTCTTAAATACCTCCAGGGATGGTGACTCAACCACTTCCCTGGCAGCCTGTGCCAGTGCTTGACAACCCTTTCAGTGAAGATTTTTCCTAATATCTAATCTAAACCTGCCCTGGAGCAACTTGAAGCCATTTCCTCTTGTTCTGTTGAGTGTTACTTGGTTGAAGAGTCCAATGACCACGTTGCTACAACCTCCTCTTAGGTAGTTGCAGAGGGTGACAAGGTCCTCCCTGAGCCTCCTTTTGTCCAGGCTAAACAACTTCAGCTGCTCTTCATCTGACTTATGCTCCAGACCCTTCATTACCCTTCACTACCTCTGTTGCCCTTCTCTGGACCTGCTCCAGAAACCTAATGTCCTTTTTGTAGTGAGGGGCCCAAACCTCAAGGTTTGGCAGTGCCAGAACCTAGTACAAGGAGACAATAACTGCCCTGGTCCTGCTGGCCACACTGCTTCTGATTCAAGACAAGAAGCCTTTGGAATTCTTTGGCCACCAGAACACACTGCTATATGAGTCCAGATAAAGTGTGTGAATAGTTAGAATATTCTTAATGGGCATTTTTACTCACTCCATAGACATACTAGCTTCTTTCCTTTGCTGCACTGTGTACAAGTGCTTTCAAAAAAAACTAGGTGAAGGAATAATGCTTCTTACTGTAGGTAAATATGTCAAATATGCAAGAGCGGTGTAGGATGATAACCATAGTCACTGGAGAGAGCTGGCCCCTTCCAAACAGCAGTTCACCCCTTGGGTGCTACTAGAGAATCTTTTAGCCTGTTTCTTTACATTAACTAGGGATGGTGACTCAGCTGCAATTACAAACTTACACTCTACACTCACCTCTATGTTCCCGTATCTTCGCAGGAAAAGCCCACAGCTGTAATTAAAAAAGAGTAGTAACAGCAGGTGCCACTAAAGAAAAAGCACTGGAAATGTCTTGAGGTCTTTTCTTCTTTTGCTTTAGTAGCATGATAAATTGCATTGCCTGGAGGCTGTTAACCCATGCACACAATCACATGCTTGACTGGTGGTGTAGATCCAACTTTAGAGCCTCTAATATGGGACCACTTTGTCTCCTATGAGTCAGTGATAAAGAGGTGATATCTTCTGGTCTGAGCTGAAGATGAAAGTGTATTCTGGGTGCTGTGACTTGATATTCCTTCAGTGGTGATTGGGCTCACTCCAGTAGCATCATTTGAGGGGAAGGTGCCTTTGAGTAATTCGGTGCCTGGAAGAGCAGCTTCTTTGTTTGCTGCTGCTGTCACTTGTGCCAACTGACCTCAGATTGTGTTGATATGCTTGTGGAATAACCTGAGAAAATTGATGCAATTGCTTGTAAATAACGCCTAAATTTGCAATGTGAATGTGAATATATTTTATAGTCATATTGAATAATGTATTAGAACAAAACTTTAACAGGATATGTAATTGTGCAACTCCTGTGCAGCAGACAATAGAAAGTCAGTTTGTTATTGTCTTACATGAAAGATGATTCCTGTGGAATTTTCTGTATTATCAAAGCAGGAAATACAATTTAGTGCCACAGTTCTTAATTTTATCCCAATGCTTTATGAAGATTTAATTTCTTAATTATTTCATTTGTTGTCACTTCTGATTTTGTCAGAATCTAGGTCAAAAAGGGTTATTATTAAGTTTTAGGATGGCTTATTTGGGTCATGTAAATGAAGTGTGATATCTAGAGATGGTGCCCAATGGCTTTGATTTAGCAGGTTATGAAGAACAAAGCACAAGTATTTTTAGAAATGAGGTTGGACCCTGTGTCTGCATTGGTGTATCAGAGCTCAGATCAAGAGGTCTCTGTCTCTTTACCATGGCACCTTTCTCACAGAAGTTGCTGATCTTGGGAGGCTTGTGAGCCAGACTCTGAAGGCTATTTCCCCCTTTGCTTTGTATTAAATATTAGATATTTGATGTCAAATATCTGTAGAAACCCTGTGAGAATCTGGAGAAATTGTTATCAGTCTCTGTTTTCCATGAGCGAAAAATGATTCTGAGCCTGTGTCAAAACTGGTCTGGGATCTTGGTGGCAAATGGGCTCCTCCAGCTCTTGCAGCTGCCTCTCAAGAGGCTGCAAAGCCTGTGCTGGTTCTGCTGCAAGCTGTCTGCTCCTCTGCACCTTTTACAAGTTATGTGGCCCAGCCCAAGGGCCTGTGTGACTCCAGACCTCGTATCACCCCAGCTGTGGGCTGCTGTAGTTGTGATGGTATTGGTGAAATACCACTTTGTCTTCTGGCCTGTGGCTTCCTGATTGTGACTCACCTGCACCGTGGTTTGTGATGCACAGTATCAGTTATCAAGTGATTTTCTATTATTACTGGCTAGATCTGCTTCTGGGTGAGAGAGTTGTTTAGTTGGGTTCTTTTCTCTTATTATGTACAGAGTAAGCCAGGGCAGTGTAATGACATAGCAGCTTCAGCAATTAATATTGCTTAATTTGATTTACAAAATCCACAAAAGGCCCAAATGTGGACCTTTTGGAGAGGGTGGAAGTTAAGTGGGGAGCATGGAATGTTATCTAAGTGGATGGCTAACTTTTGTCCTTCAAAAGTGAGTAGAATCCACAGTCATCAAACTGAGACACAAAATGACTTCAGAGCCTCAGTTCAGTCATAGAATGGCTGTTGGGTTCAGCCTCTTGTGACCCTGTGAGCTAAATCTCTTGCTTCAATTTAGAGCGTTACTGCAAAAGTGTTATTATATAAAAAAAGTGAAATAATTCTTCATTGTAATACCTGTTCCACAATAAAAGAAAACAGCCCAGCAAAAAACTTTAGGTGGGAAGTCATCTGGCTTTTTTTGCATAATGGTCAGTACAGCCTAAAGCAGAAACATTCTTGCATTGAATGCTTGAATCTATTGAAAGGCAAGACTAACTATAATAATAATAATTTTAAACTTTATGTAAGATAGGTCTCATCTAAGGTAGCTCTTTATAAGACAATTTAACTTTCATTAGAAAGGGTTGAAAAATCAGATTTTTATTTTTTCCTAAGAAATCCTACAACTTTTAAAAAGGCTTTTCATTCTGACTTAGAATTTTGAGAATTCTAAAAAACAAAGGGTTTTAAAAAAACTTGTTTCAACTGCAATTTCTTACTACTGAATAACGCCTATTTTTTAGTGATGTTTAATGCAATAGTTGGCTTCTGTGCTATTTTTGTATTTCCATAATAATACTAGGTCATTTAGGTTTTACATTTTGAGTGCTGTTACAGAAAAATAGTGGGAAATTACTATAAAATTAAAAAGATCAGACATGACAATTTTAACAGGGATTTTTAAAGACTTTTAAAAAACTGGTGTGTAGTTATTTTTGTTAAGGCTTATGAGATTCTAACTTCATTTAATTGAAAGCAGCACTTCAGCTAAAAAATGTTTCAATATAAAAAGTTCCTGCTGGCTCTGCTGATTCCTTAACATCCTCTGAGAAACCAAATAAGAGAGAAAAAAAGCTACAAGGTGTTTTCTTTAATTATTTGCCAGTGCCTGTGAGATCCAGCCTCCACTTCATGAGTGTAATTTGTAGTGAACTTGGTGAAAATCCTTGCTGTTGTGCATCTGACTGGAGAATCTGGTGGGGGCTGGAACTGCTCCAGGAGATCCCTCTGTGTGCAGTTATTCAGACCTGATGGTGGTGGATAATGACTCTGGCATTACCCTGTGATAGAATGCTTGACCTATCTCCTTTTTTCCCTAAATCACTCTGGTGTTAAAAAAAAAAAAAGGAAAAAAAAAAAAAAAAGAAAAGGCAAGTCTTCATGTGGACAGAACAAATGCATCATTTGTGCTTTTGAAATCAGTGGGAGGTGGAGCCGTGAGTCAATTTATACAACCCTTCGTCCCTTCTTCCTGGCCACAGCTGTGGTCCAGGAGCATACACCAGCTGGGAGACACACAGACTGGAGCCTTATAGTAGTGCCTTTTATGAATCAAAGATACTGATGGGATCATCAGCCTATTCACCTTTGGTAAGAGAAAATCAGCGGTGGGGCAGAAGAATCTGTTTGACTGTCTTGGTTGAGATTCATCAAAAGCAAATGCTTGGGGAATTTTGATCCTTAAATGTCAAATGTGTCTACAGTAGGCAGATATATTAGTAAAAGCAGCAGGTAGATGGTCCTGGTGAGATGAAGAGGAGAACTGGGAGAAATGCTATGGTCTCCTTCCATAGTGAATCCGAGTAGAAACTGAAAATTACTGACTGCTGGGTTTCATCACTGGCCCCTCTTTTGGCTCTTTGTCTCCAGGATCGGTTCATCCGTGCAAATCCGCACAGGAAGATTGGAATCAGGAGGAGGAGTCATGGCAGACCATGCAGTGCTGAAAATGAGGTACTGTATGGAAGGCAGCTTCTGGATTGCAAGGAGAGAGCTTCAGGGCATAAAGGATGGCTGTGATACCTGCAGTTCTTCTGCCAGCCTTTCCAGTCTCTCCCCAAGCTTAACTGTTTTTGTGAGAGGTGACATTTATCAACAGATAGTTAAGGGAATATTTGCTTCTTCTGTGAGTGTGCTGTCTAGAGTGCAAAGTATTCACTGTGACTTAGGGGTTGGGAAGATGATGAACTTGTGGTTTAAATGCTAGGCAAGGAACTGGGAGAGCTGGATTTTAGTCTTGGTTTACTGTGGTATGATTATATGACAGTAGTCATACCTCATAACACCCAAGGCTTAGTCCTTAAATTGTTTTTCCTTTACTTTATGGAGGTAGATCAGCAAATAAAATGGCTTGCTCCCATGTCTGACACTTTTCTGAACACTGATTTTTATGAAGATGAATTGGTTTTGGAAAGTACTGGATATGGTACATTCTAGATATGTTACAAATTATTCTGGGTTTTTTTTTGACTAATGGTTAGTTGAAAATATATTAAATAACTTGAAAAATGAAAATAATCTGATATGTTTTTTACCCCTGAGTTTTCTCAATCTGTTCCCTAGCTGTATTCAGTACAAAAGTATGAAGCTAACTATTTCTTAAATCTGGGAGAGTAGTGCATTCACTAACTGCTAGCACTATGGAATTATAATTTGGTTTGTGTCAGTGTAGTTGCTTAGTGCTTAAGCCATCTCATGAATAAGTTTTCTTCAAACTCATGGATATGGACGGTACTAAAGATGAGGATGAAAAATTAATCCTCTGTATTTGGAATGAAATGTTGAGCTTTCAGCAATTTGGATCATGTACTTTTTTCATCCTTCATCTCCAGAAACACTGCTGCCAAAAATTATGCTGAGGTTGATGGGCTTCTTTCAGATCTTCTGGTTATGTTTAAATGACACTTGCTGAAAAATAGTGTTGAGTTGAGAATTTTTTCAGTAGGCTGTAAATAACATTTGGCTTGGTGGCTTATTGATTTCTAGATGTTTAGTCTGCTTCTGTAAGGCCAGGGTGTATCAAAAGTGTACACAAGGAGGTCCTAAGCAGGCAGTTTCTCAGAAATCATGATTCTTTGGAGATTTTAGTGCTGGATTTAATTTAATAAATGGAGCTGTTGCCTCTGCATGTAGTATTTTACTCTTGACGTTCTTCAACACTGTCTTGTTTTTCCAGTGATCAAGTGTAGGGCTGTGTTTAGCTGTGATAGGGAGTGGAGGAAGAACAGAAAAAATGGAGAAACTTGTGGAGCTTTCAAGATTTTCTCCTGTAGAACACTACACTATAAGTTGTCAATATTGCTATGCCTCAGGGCTTCTCCTTGGTAGATCAATCAGGTCAGTCTAGGTTTGTTGTGATTAAGTCAAGACATTCTGAATTGCCTGTTTGTGCTTTTGTGCCATTCTCTTTTCTTTCCTATTTTCTTTTTTTTTTTTTGTGTATGTGCATTTGCATACAAGTATAGCTTTTTGTTGTTTATTTGTGTTTTATTATATAATCTAACACACTGCCAATTTTACTTTGTCTTCTCAGCTTTCCATTTTCTTACATTGTTTAGAGCTTTAGTGATTCCTGCTGTGTTAAGTTCTGATTCTTTATAAACCCCCTCCTGCTTGTTGCTTTAAAATCCCAGTTCTGTTTGTTGCATTTATGAGGTTTCATTTTGGTTAATGTAGACCCTAGCTATGAATGACAGGTTATCTTTACTCAATGTCAAATCACAAGAAAGTATTTATTATCAGAAAATATCTCAAATAGTTAAAATTAAATTCACTGCATTATAATGACAGAATGGCCTTTGTGGTGTTAAAGGATGAGTTATTATTTATATCTGAGTTAACTGCTAATAATTAAGGTATCTTTCTCATTGTTCTGCAGCCAGAAGTGCCTCAGTTGTGCTGGCTTTCTGTAAAAATTATAGGCATGAGAAATCTTCGCAAAGCAGATCTGTGTAAGTATCACTGAAAGCACATTTATAGCTTCTCAAGAAAACTTCTGTCACCTGATTTTTATGCTCTTGTACACCTGTTGCTTAGATTACAGTAATATTTCATGGGGGTTTGGGTGAAGAAGTTGTATTTATTTTCATTTTCATTTAAATTCAAAATAATTTAGAAAACACTTAAAACCAGAAAGGAAATAGACTAGAAATTGTGTTGAAGAAGTTGTCCTTCCCTTTGTCAGCTGCTCTGTGATATTTCCCTTTCTCCTAACTCTTCAGTGTCCCTTTTTCCAGCTTGCCCAATTCTCTTTTGAAAGGAATACCTTTGTGAAAGATACAGGGAAAATCAGTAGTTGCTTGGATGTTGCTGTGTTTTGTCTTCACTGTTCTGTTGGTGTGGATGACTTGTCCATTACAAGTAGATGAAAATCCCCCAAATTAAAATTTCCATTCAAGTTTAAGAAGCGCCATTTCAATAAATGTATATGAGGTTTTTTGGAAAAGGGCAAATATTTGAAAATAGGAGTTATAAAATCAGGAGGGCCAGAGTACTTAGTTCAGCACTGTTGAAATAAAATACTTTTGCTCTTGTTATCTAATAGAATTAATGGTTTAAAAGTGACTTTTTTGAAACTCGTATAAATCTAAATAGAAAAGTTAAACTCTAAATCCAGAATATTTTCCTTGGAGTTTAATGAAATATCTAGGACTCCTCAGAGGTTAATATTTTCTTTCCCTGACTGAGCAAATCAAGTAATAATGAAGTACTGTTGTACTAATTGTGCAACTTGTTGTTAACACAGGGAGCCAAACTGATTGCTATGTCAAGCTGTTGCTGCCAACATCTTCACGTCAGGAAGCCCAGACAAGAACTGTACACAACTGCAGAAGCCCTGTCTGGAATGAAACTTTCCACTTCGTGATACAGAGTGAAGTAAAGGTGGGATCTGTGACAGTGAGCAGGTGCTGTCTAAAGGGGGCATCTTCACCTGCTGTGGGCAGACTCCTTTTGAAAGGCTTGAGGCTCAAATGGGTCTTGTACTCAGTTAACCTGACTGAAAGAAGTAGTTTAAGCTCAGAAGGTTGTGGAATATCAGGAATAATGTTGGATGCTTCTTTGTGTCCCAGAACCATTGTAAAAAACTGTTAAAGTGTTTATAGCATTAGCAGAAATAGGTGAGCAGTCAGAGTGAAGGTGATACAATGTCCAAACTGGATCAGTTTCTCATAGTTTACTAGTGCTGCATCTTCTCATGGTAACCTGAGCCCTGAGGAACTGCCAGGGGATCAAATCCTGTTGAGAGTTTGGTACTATGCTTTAACTTTTATTTCAAAGGCCTAAAAATTTTCCCTTTACTATTACTTTCTGGCAAAATGTCAAGATTTCTCAAGGCAGTGATTTTGAATCCACAAATGATCTGAGGATTAGTGTGTGTAACCTCTGCTCTGTCTGGTGCCTGTTACCATCATATATGTTGCTTATGCTTCCTCTTCTTTTGAAGCTCTTTTTGGTTGCCAAATCTGATGATTTACTCCCTCTAGGATTAGTCCCTGACTCTGCTGTCTGAGCCACATGGGCTGTGGGCTGAGCTCTGTGCTGTCACAGGAGTCTGTCCACATGGGTGTGAGGGCTGAATGCTGGCTCTTGCTGGACCTTCCTTTTGGGCTCAGTAGTCCCAGAATATGTCATTTACATCCTTCTCTGCCTCTTTCCTCAGAACATCCTGGAGCTGACAGTCTGTGATGAGGACACTTTTACACCAGATGACCATCTCATGACTGTTCGCTTTGATGTGGCTAAAATCCCACCTGGAGAAAAAGTTCGCCTGAATTTTGAGTTGAATCCAGAGGTGAGTGGCTAGAGAAAATAATACCCTTGTCTTAAGTTGCTACCTCTATTGAACATTAAATTAATTCTCACACACAGAGACTTTGTTAAAAAGAATGTTACTAAAAGAAGTTGGGTGCTGGGGTTTTAGAAGAGGGGTCACAAACACTCCCTGTTGTGACTGGGATAAGATGAAAATTACTTGCCATATTCCTATTTTTTATTTATTTGTTTTTTTTAATGTCAAAATTATATTTTGAAAAGTCAGCAAGAAAGAGAGTCAAAAAATGAAGAAGCTGATAGGCCTAATTTCTGTTGTGGGAGATTGATAGAGCAGGGGGGGAACAAACCCCTGTCCCCTTTCCAGGCAGCTGCCCTTACCCTTTGGCCAGTAGCTCGCTAGGGCTATAACCTCTCAGCTTCATCAGGGATTTTGGCCAGTTCTTTCATATAATGTACTTGCTAAATGAAGCATTTCATTCTTGTGATAATATCTTTGGGGCTTTTTTTTTTCCTCCTCTACAAAACAACTTTAAGAAAAAAAATGTCAGCAAGTCTGCTTATGCTCCTTTGCTACAAATTTATTTTAGAGGGGCTGAGCCACCACAGAAGAATTCATCTCTTGATGAATGAAAATATAATCAGCATTTTATTTTTTCTTCTGAGTGTATGACTTAAGAGTTGTATTTGCTGCATGAATCTCAAAAAAATATTGTGTTTGGTTGTATTAAAGGGGAGATAAAGAGTATCTTATGAAACACTGAGTGGATGAAGTTGCTGAGAGGAGAGGTGGGGAAATCACACTCATTTTCAAAGAGAGCAGAATATATACTCAGATGATCTGCACAATATAACATCTTCTCTGTTTGGAGAATGTAGTAACAACTTCAGGACTTTTTCATACTTCTGCCAAGGGCTTCAGTTTTTGGTTCCCAGGAATTGGTGTGTTCCATTTATTTCTAAACCACTGTGTCAAATCAGGCTCTTTGGAACACACTCTTGCCTGTTTTTTGTATTACTATTGCTTTGGAGAGTGTTTATTAACTGCTCTTTTAGAAGACCAATCCTTCCTGAGGACTGCTGACTAAACCTGCTCCAGATGGCTACAGCCTTCCTCAGAAAATCCTCATGTGACTGAGATAATGCCAGGTGTGATTCAAGCCCTGAATTTGCTCTGAGGCATGTGCAGAGCTGTCTTAGCCCATTAGCAAGGTGGAAGTGGTGGGGGTCAGACTAGGTGAGCTGTCTCAGGAACATCCTGGTCAAGCTGCCCTTCTTCAGTTTGTGGTGAATCAGGCACCCATGAGGCATCACAGATTATGGTCTGTATTTGGATTTTTAGAAGACTTTGGGTTGTTTTATTTTTTTGAAAGTGACTTAGGAATGCATCAGGCTGGGCAATCTTAATAACAGGCTGTAGTGCCACCTCTGCCCATAATGAATTCTTTCATCTACCAAGGTATCTCAGAAGAAGGGCTGAGGAGGCCAGATGGGTAATGTCAGAGCAGCAGGGTTGCTTTGCTGTGCCTCTTGCTCTCTGTGGCCTAACAAGTATTTCCATTCCTATGCTCTGGATTTTTCACCCACAAATATGTGAGTGGGACTTCATAGAAACATAACTTTTGTGAGTGTAAAACAGCATAAGAAGGCAAGCACAATCAGGCAGATGCTATGAGCCAGGTTCTTCTGATCCTTGTTTCTGATGTTCTTTGGACAAAGTTGTAACAGACCTCCAGTTAGTTTGGATAGTATAGTCTGGGCACAATTAAATATTTGATATTCTGTCTTGCATCTGTGTAAGGTGATTGCTTTCTAAAATCTGTGCCCCAGCCTTGTATTACAACATTGCAACCACTGTAATTCTCATGAAATAGAGACTTTGGGAGAAATTAGCAAGCACAGCTACCTGCTTCTGTATTATATGCCACAGATGCAGCTATCAGAGATGCCATCAGAGATGTCTCATTTACTGATGTGAATTAGTAAATACAAAATTGCTCTTCACTTTCACTGTAAAGATATTTCTCCTATGGCAGCTGCATTGTCAGATTTGACATGCTTTTCACAGTCAATTCACAATGTTAAAGTGTGATGTACAGCAGGACAGAAGGGATATTTGTCAGTAAATGTTAGCTATTCTGAATATGAATTAAAAAGTGCTACTGTCACTTGTCAGGAAGAGACAAGTGTCATAGTTTATATCACTGTTAGCTAGTATTTTCCTCCCTGTGGATGATCCAGAATCCTCCCTGTGGATGATCCAGAAGATCTCTCTGATATACTCTTTTTTAGTGTGGTATTTCCTGGACTGGCTGTATCCCATAGCAAGTGGCTGAAGTAATACAGTTATTCAGTCTCTTTTATACTGTTGGTGAGCTACTCTGTTGCTGCTTCATTCTTACACTTTTCTTGTCTCTTTTCCTCTTTATTTGTCTCTCCTCAGCTCTTTTCCCTGATTCCTCTTCACAGTCTTCTCTTTTCTTCCCTTCACCCTGACAGTTTTTACTTTCTAAGTTGGTCCCTTCTCCCACCCTTTTTTAATGTTTAATGACTTTACTCTGCAAATTCTTTTGTTTTAACCAAGGCATACTCCCTATCTATTCACTGTACTAAGTCCATTCATTCTTAATTATGTTTTCCTACATCATTCACCTACTATTCTTCCCTTCCTCAGCATTGACTGACCCATGTCTTATCCTACTAATGAATTAATAATAGGACCCTTGCTCCCTATTCAGTGATACCTAATATTTTCTTTCTCTTGATGGTACAGCTGGTTTGTAAACAATAGAGCAGTAGAGAGGTGGAGTCAAAGTGTGGCCACAGAAATCCATTCATATTATGATGTAGAGGGTGTGGGAATAGAGGGTTATAAATAAATTGTCAGAGTTGCATCAATGGAAAATATTTATTCATTCATAAATTTAAAAAAAGTCCTATTTTCAGAATCAGGAAGAACTAGAAGTGGAATTTCTACTGGATAACATGTAAGTAAATTTCTACTGGAAAACATGTAAGTAAAACCTCAGAAAACTGCATTTTAGAGAGAGTAGTCATGCAGCACTGGGGAAGTGGCTCTGTGTACATCTGTTCAGACACCTCATCTCGGCATCTTCCCTGGTGTTATTTTCTGTCCCAAATTTGAGTGAGTCTTACTATTTATAGCTGAGAATGGATGTTTATTTTGTGATTCAGCCTAAGGAGAGATGATACTCATCAGCAGAGATAAGAAGGAAGGAGCATCCTTAGGAAGGTATGGGATGTGATCTGGCAGAGGCTGCAAGATGCAGGGGAAGGATAGAATTGCTGATGGTACTACAAGTGCTGATGTCAGCTAGAAAAACTGAGCTCAGAGAACTATGTGCTTTTGAAAGTTTATTGCTTAAATACACACTTTTAAATAAACCTTTTTGGTTTTTCTTTTCAGACCTGGTGTATCTGAGAAGATCATTACTAATGGTGTACTAGTGGTAATTTTTGTTTTTTTTGTATGCTAATCTTATGGTGGGGCAGAACTGAAGGATGTGGTTGGAAGATAGGAAGAAAAATTTCTTCTGTTAACTGTTGGGGACTGAATGGTATTTAAATGTAATGACAGATCCCCAGTTATTTTGGCTTCCTTAACCACAGTACTGCTTGCAAGATTTATACAAGATACTCAGTTTCTACAAATTCTTCACATCCATAGACCATTGTGGCCAAGCACTGTGTTTCTACAGGACTCCTAGAACCTCAGTGAGAATTCTGAACTGTTTCTGTGACCAGTGGCTTTATTGCTTCTCTCTTCCAGTCTCGTGAAGTTTCCTGTTTAGAAGTACACGTGAATGAAACAAAAATGAAGAATTCTTACAAAAGTGAGGCTGCTGATTTAAATTGTTTGTTGCTGCTTTTTGTGCAATGGGAAACACAGCTGAATCTAGATAAATATTTGGTTTGTTTTAGTCTCCGTTTGCATCAGGGCTGCTGTTTGCTACACATGACTGTGTAGCTTAAGAGAAACTGTGGAGCTGGCTGGGAGATCTGGAAACAGCTGTTGATGTATGATGGAACACAACTGCAATGTGATGGAACTGAAATACCTTTATCTCTGTTTTCTGGTGAAAACAGAAAGTAAAAGGAGGCAGACACAGCTCTCAGGAGGAGAAAGACTTCAGTGAAAGCTCAGGAGATGTGGATGCTGCTAGAGGCATCCACAAGTGTAGCACACACTCTGTCACTTGGCAGGCTGTCAAAAATGGTTTAGGTCACTTAATCCCTGGCAAAGGCATTAGCAAGTGTAGTTTACTAAAAATTTAGAAAAGTGTGACAAGGTTCAATGGCAAGGTTCACTCTATTACTACATGCATGAAACATACAAAGAAAAATCAGATTAGAATAAATCTAGAATTATTTATGCAATGACAGGGGATGTAAAAGGATAAAGAGGGAAAAGGAAAGGGTGCCAGGAGTGAAGATCCTCACACTGAGTTGTGAGTTTCAGAGTGAACCCTCTTGCCAAACTTAGCCTTAGAGTTGATTGTTTGTCTAAAGGATTCAGCAGCACTTAATCATCCCATAATTTAGCATTTAAAAAAGCAATTCAGTGGTATTTACAATAAGCAGAACAATAAATAATTATGAATGTAGGATGATAACATTCATACTACACCTGCTATGGGGCATTCAAATCAATTCACACACACTTTCACACAAAGAATTATGTACAAAGGTGCCTGCTAAAAATTCCCCTCAAGGTTGGTGAAATTCTCAGAGCAGATGCCTTTGCTTTTCTCCGGGGATGAAGGGCTGGGCCTCGAGGAGCCAGGGGTGCCAGCCCTGACTCTGCCATCAGCTTTTGAGATCAGCTCTCTGACTATTGCAAACTTGAGAGCTGGTCAGTTCCCAGCCCCTGCCATCCAGGGAATCTCAAAGCACCAGGTGCTGCACACTGGTCACAGGGGAAGAAAAACGTTGTGGTCCAAATTAACCTCAGTTAAGCCTGCAGCATTAAGACTGAAATGTCACTTGGGGCTAATTTCAGGACTAGGCACAGTTAACATCTCCCTGCGGTTTGCTTCTTGTTCTTAGGGAGAGATTTCACCTTCACAATGAAAGGATCCTATGAAGAAACCCAGGATATTTCCATAGGTCCTCACTCCAGACCAGGAAGAAGTGAAACCACCAGGTTCCACTACATCAAGCACAGCCAACCCAGGCTGCTCATGACTCTGCCAAAGGAGTGTTTTCTCTGTTGTGTAGGTTTTTCTTATGGAAGGTGATAACACCTAGCCTAAATTTTGGGAGAAGAATCATGAGTAAACCCTTATCTGGTATTTCTGTGCTTAGGCTCTATAAATAATATTTTCCTTATAACATTTTTTCCCCCTCTTTAAATCAGCCTGGCTCAGGTAGGAGGGAAATGGATGTAAGTAGTCCCTTGGCTGTGCCTCTCCATTCTCTGGACTTGGGAAAGAAAGTGACAGTGATGAGAGTGAGTATCCTTTGGATATTTGGAATTCTTTCAACAAGGTAAACTGTATATATGTGATATCTGGTCATGTAATAATTTTGTTACTAAAATTGCATCAGTGAGTTATTTGTATGCTTAGCTCTGCATGCACTTAGAAATATAAGTATGATTTGGGGGGAAATAGGATATTTAGAATTTCTGGCTGCTTTAAACGTAGTTTAAATGCAAGATGAGTATTGTGTGTTGAATGCCTGAGAGGAGACAAAAAAATTATCATTAGACTATATATCTGAATATTTGCTAATACTGTAAAACCTGCTTTTACAAATTTTCAATTCTACTTAAAATTTATTGATTAATTTCATGATTCATTTTCAGGGGGAATCTTATGAGGTGTCTGTGAATGAGGAAAATAGGTAAATCTTTTATTGCTTTTGAATGATTACTTAGGCCATCTCCTCTCCTTCCATGATTTCATTGTTAGATGAAAGGAAACTAAATTTTAAAGTAGCTAATTTCAAAACAGGAAATAAAGCTGACTAAAATATGGAGACTGGTTAATAAAATGCTTCAAAGTTTTAAATTGGTTGGTAAGAATTTAGAATAGGATAGTTGGTAGCTAGTTATGGGGTATAAACCATCACAATATTTTTCCTAAAGTTGAGGCTTTGTAATTTTGATACCTAAACATACTTCTGTCTTGTAACCTTTATCTATAATATGAGCATATTTATGTGTACCATAGTTCTAATGTGTCTAAACCTTTATGTGTTTACAAGACCTCTATAGGTAATTTTTCAATGAAACACATGGACAGTGATTTATTTATTAACTGACTTGCTGAGATTTTCTGAAGGGTAACATTACCCCCTGTTGATAAGTTAGTTCCATTGCAAGCCTTAGTTGCAGGTGAATGATCAATCAGAGGGTTTTATTGAATAATATTCAGAAAAGAGACAGAAAAGTTTTTGTGGTTTTTTTTTTTTTTTCCTGAAAAAAACCTCTGAAACTGGAACCCTGTGAAAATATAGGTTATAGAATGAATAATGTACATGTTATTTATGGTAATGTACAGAAGGGATAAATTTAGGAGAAATCTTCTGATTCAAATAGAGCATAAATTCTTTGTAGAGATAAGCCTAATTCAGTATTATGGTTATTTTAATTGAAGTGTGTTAAGTTTAAATAACTACTTAGGCCCCCTTTGTGCTTGGAAGACCAAGCACATGCATAGCAGGAGAATGTGAAGAGGTGTTCAAGTACTAGAGTTCAATGTGAAACAATTTAATTTTATTCATTTAACTTCCTTGTGATTGTGTGAAATTGTTCAGGACATAATTCTGAGCTAAAAATCTCCACAGGAAGGCACAAATATAGGGCATAGGATATGCATATAACTGATTTCATTTACACAGGGGGATTTTCATGCACATGGAAGTATAATTTCTTTAAACTGGTTTATTGTTGTTGGCTTTGCTGAATGTCTCCAACTGAAATGGCTACAGGTGCTTGTGCTGTTCTTACGTTCTAGTTGCAAGGATTTAGATTTGCGGCTGGGGTTTGGTCTGTGCGTGGAGGAGCAGGATTTCATCCGTAAAAGGAAGAAGGTGGTTGCTGCTGCTCTGAAAAATGTTCTTCATCTAGATGAAGACCTGCAGGAGGATGAGGTATGTGGGACAGCATTTTGGGAGCAGTATAACCCACTTTGAGATAAGTGGATGTGATGTACTTGCATGACCCAAACAGCTCTTCCACGATATAAATAGTAAAGGCCAGATTGTCACTTGCAGCTAAGACCATACCCAAGTTTTTGACACAGAGGATGAAAGAGGAGCTGTCAGGAGGCTGGTTATAGCTCCTTTATTCTCTGTCAACCTCTGTCCTCCCTCAGGGGCACCCAAAGGCTGTATTTGCTGACATACTGGCATGTATAACTAAGCCTGGTGAAATTTGATTGCTTAAACTGAGACCATTTCTCGTCTTTGGCATCCCTTCTCTGCTGCCATAAGGTTCATGGGGAAGGCTGCAACTCTCCCATAGCACACTGGTAGAGTAGCATCTGTCTTGTGTGTTTTTTGGTGTTACCTCTTGCTTGCTCCTCTCCTGGGGATCCCTGAACTCAGAGGTAGCTGCTCTCTTACTGGAGGACAATGATCTGTTATGGGGCTGTGGTGCCTGGGGCAAGAGTCTGGGACAATGTGCCTGTGGGGTATTTCCTCCACTGCTCTGTTCAGCTCCCAGCACACCCAACCCTTTATGATGTGTGCAGGACAGCATTTTTCAACCAAGTCAAAATACTCATGAACTTAAGGAACAGGTAGAATATGACTTGTTATTATCAACTGAGAATAAAACGGGGGTTGAGCCAAATTAATAATAAAAAAAAAAATCCAAACACACAAGTAGGTGGTGAAATACAGTGAAGACAAGATTAAAGGTAATGGCAACATATGTTCCTAAAACTGAATATCTGTTGTATCAGTTTTACTATACAGAAATGGGGGGAAGGATAACAGGATTGATGCATTTCTGAAGAAAGTAAAACCAAATTACATATAGCACTGATATCAGGGAAGGTAGAGGTAATCTGGGTTGGAAAAACAGTGTTAAAATAAATCTATAAAGCTGGGCACTATCTGCCTGGAGAATAGCAAATGTTGTATATACACTTATACACCTAAAGTAAGAAAAAATTATGCAGGCAGGTTTTGTGCTGCTCTTCTGATCTTAGTTATACTCAGAGCTTTAAAAGGTGTTTTGATGGGAAGAGCTGAGGAAAAATTAAATACATTGAGAAAATCTGAAAACATATTTCTTCACAGAAGAACTGTATTTACAGCTCCAGACTTTCCAAAGCATCACTGATCTGGAAAATGCTTTCAGCTTACACTAAATTCCACCAAAGTTTACACAGCTCAAACACACATCTAGGCACTGCCCTGAATGGGGTGAATTAATCAAAACCTACCTGAACCAGGTGCTGCTGTTACTTTTTTCTGCATGGCCATCGTTCCTGTATTTCTCCTGGTGATGAGTGACTTTGTGCCTCTCTCTGTGTGTGGAGCAGGTGCCAGTGGTGGCAGTGGTGACTGCAGCGGGTGGAGTGCGGTCCATGACAGCGATGTTTGGCAGCCTCCTGGCTCTCCAGGAGCTGGGTGTTCTGGACTGTGTGTCATACATCAGTGGTTTGTCTGCCACAACATGGTAAGGAGAGCTGGGCCTGTACTTGACATTTGTGTTAGCAGAGTGATAACCTGGTGAACAATGTTGCCTTACTGATGAATTTACTCAGCTTGATGTGGGCACTTGGCTTCCTTTTGGACTTTTTTCATGGGACCACTCAGTGCTGTCCTTCTACAAGAAACAAATCTAATGAGAGTGACAGTATTTCTGTAACTGCACTGAAGTGTTTACAGAAATCAAAAGAAAAGAGCACAAGCCATGATGGTTTGCCTGTAACTTTTTATCTTGTTGCATGCAACACTTCAAAAGTCCTTTTGTAATTTTTGCCTGGCTCAACTCTTATATGTCTCCAAAAACCAGACTTTTAAAGAACAGCCCTGAGAGTGTCATTCATACGCTCAATGGTGACTGCCTTGCACAAACTAGAAGGGGTTGAGGGATTGAAAACATTTTGCCTCTGGAGGCTGCTCTAAAAGTATGTGAGACAGAATGAGACCAAGTGGGCTGGGGATGAGAGGAGATGACTGGAATCTGCTTGAGCCCTGGGTCCTGGCAGCTCAAACCTGCCCTTATGCCTTTCACATAGGGTCTGACCCACCTGAGGGAACTGGCCTCAGATAGAAGGGGTGGCTTGGACAATCAAAGGGTAATTCTAGCAAAAGCTTGAGTTAAATTATCACTGTTGCTTTATTTTTGATTCTGAAATACAAACAAGGTAGGATGATTTTAAATGTATTTGTGCAGGAAAAAAAAATATAATTACACAGCCTAAATTTTGCCTCATGCTCTTCCAAGTAGAAGTTGGAGGGCAAGAACCTCAGGTAGCCTCAAACAAAATACTTAAGTGTGTTATAGGCTAATCAATTGTCATGTGTCACAGTACCTTTCTTTTATCCAGGACCATGTCAAAGTTATATGAAGATGAAAATTGGTCACAAAAGGATCTCAGAGGGCCAGTTGGTGATATCAGGAAACACGTGACCAAGAGCAAGCTGCACTGTTTCTCTTTGGATCATATGAAATACTATGAAAATGAGCTTTGTAAGAGAAAGCAAGAGGGGCACAAGGTGTCCTTTACAGATTTATGGGGACTCTTTATTGATTGTATGCTACATCATCAGGTATTTTATATTCTTTCTCTCCCTCTTATTTCACAGGATTTCTAACATTCCATGTCTAATGCTGTGGATTCAGTTACAGAAAAGGCTCTGAAAACACCTGAAGGACTTATTATTTGGGTTTTTAGAATAAAAGTAACAAAGTAACCCTAAAGTATGAGCATCTAGAAGAGATGTCTGAGCATGCAAAAATTCAAGATGTTAAAGAAACTGATTTTACATCTTTAAGTTTGGGTTTTGGGTCAGGTGGTAATTCTAGTAACACACAGAGGAGAGAAGGCTCTGGCAGAGCTAAGTTCAGGCATAGCAATGTATACCTATAAGCTGTACTGAAGGAAATGGGTCCAGGTTGACTAAATATCTTTCTTTCCTTAAAGCAAGTCATATCAAGTGACTGTGCAGACATGTTTCTTGCATTTTTGTCCTGTCCCCCTTGCCAAAACTCTCATAAGCACAATGCCTTGGTGGAAGCTTATGGGAGATAACACATGAACACACTTGTCTGGCCAAACAAAGTACACAGAACAAAACTTGCTGAGGTTTAGCAGATACTTCATTGATAGTTCATGCTTAGATACTGTAGTAAGTCCATGTATCATGTTCATATTTTTACAATGACTTCTGCTCTTTGTAAACAGGAAAATACTCACAAACTCTCGGATCAACAACTAGCAGTCAATCAGGGGCAGAATCCTCTCCCCATATACCTATCTCTCAATGTCAAGGATGACTTTAGCACTTTGGATTTTAAAGGTATAGATATCATACACCCTCTCATAACTCTGAAGAGTTTCTTTTTAAGGCTGATTGAATGCCAAAACATTTTTTCTGTAAGTCCAAGCCAATAAATCTTTTAAATAATTTCCTTTTCCTTGTCTTCATATCTGGTTTCTGATTTGGATTAAAAACATCCATCCTAAACCTATGGAAGGGAGATAGGTGTCCTGTAGACACTGCTCGGGGTGGGATGGAAATGCCTTTTGCTGGCAGCCTTGAGAGTCACCCCTCTCATCCCCACCTCCCCCCCACAGCCCCTGTCAGCTGCTGGGTCTCCTGCTGAGGCAGCACTACTCCAAGAGAGCTATCAAGAGTGGGAAGGTGGGCAAGGAAGGGAGGAAAAGGAGAAGGTGGAGAGAGGTGAGAGCAGGAGTCAGCTCCCAGCAGGCAGAGAAGGATCTGATGTGATTCAGGGCTCTGTGCTCTGATCAGTGATCCTGATCACTGTTCCATAGGGAGGGTTTCCAGCACAAAGGAAGCAGGAGGTTCTGCAACTGAACGTGGTCATCTGCTCCTAGGCACAGTTGCAGTCCCAGTGCACCCAGCCAAAGTTTCCATGTGGGGAGGGGGTTTGGTCAGAGTTTTTTATCCTCAAGGCAGTGATTATGAGAGTCTTTTGAATGAATGGTAGCTGGCGTCACTGCTGAATCAGATGAACTCAAAATGCCACATTGTGTGCAGAGCCTTAGCAATTAGTGGACTTTCAGCCCCAGGTCTTGCTTCTTAGTGCAGAAATGGACCTGAATCTTAAGCTGAATGGATTTTGGCAGAGGAGATGAATTTAGTTTTTGCATTCATGTATGTTGAAGGGCACCTGTTTGTTTCAAAACATAGTGGTTTGAACTGTCTGTCACTACCATGGTGAAGGTATAGGCCTTGTTCTTCCAGCTTCTGATTCTCTAAGCTGACTTTTACATGTGTTCAGGTGGCTGCAATAAATCCATTTTGATGCCTTATTTACAGAGTGGGTGGAGTTCACACCTTACGAGGTGGGTCTCCTGAAATATGGGGCCTTTGTTCGTTCAGAGGATTTTGGTAGTGAGTTCTTCATGGGTCGCCGGATGAAGAAGATCCCAGAATCCCACATCTGCTTCTTGGAAGGTAATTTACTATCTCAATAAAACATCACCTTAAGAGCTGGCTACACAGAGGTGGTCTGCAAATTGCAGTATTAGTACACCAGAGAATGTATCGGATGCAATTTCAATCTCAAATGAACCAGCCAAAAGCAACAAAAGAGGAAATCAATTTTTGAGACAAATGTGACTAATTTGCTGAACGTCTTGCTGAATGACCTAAACAGAACACATGCATGCACACACACAAACTGATCATCTGAAGTATTTAAACTCACAGTCTGACTTTTATAGACAGCCAAGTTTCAAAAATAGCCTGGTTGTAAGCCAGACATTGTGTGGAATGGCATGGCATTTGATATTTACAGGAAAATTCATAATATTTCATAACTAGAACAGAGGGTGGATTCAGGTGTGTTGCCATAACTGTGCTCTAATATTTAAACTAATATTAAGTATGGCGTGTTTTGGTTTTTTTTTTAACTTTCAAGGCACATGGAGTAATATTTTTTCTCAGAGTTTTATGGATGCTGTCTACCTTTCGGGTCATTCAGAACACTTCTGGCACAGATGGACTCGAGACACTGAGCATGACATTGGTTAGTTCTTCAGATGACATTTTCTTCACACCTCTCTGAAATGTAAAACCTGGCATTTGGTAAACACATTTGTTTTTGTGTCCTGTTTCTGGCTTATGGGACACCAAGCCCTTGAGAATGAAGGAAAAGCAGGAGACCAGCAGTTGTGCTGTAAAACAGGAAAAAACATCATGCTGTTCACTGTGTAACATCCCTGAGGAGCTTTGTTAGTCATGAGAGGGTTACCAGAACCCTTTGAGGGGGGAGAGGTCAGACAAGGAAGAACAAGGTGATGGTGTGACACTGAAACCCACTGCCCAGAACACTCTGCATGTCCAGGTGTGCACTCAGTTACAGATGGGGCTGGGAGCCATGGTGGTTTGGTTGTTATTATCACCAGAGAAACACTCTGACTGAATGCAGACACAAACCCTCTTCTTGTTCTTCCTGCAGAGAACCATCCTGCTCTGCCCAAGAAGCCTCATGAACAGACAACCTGCTTATCCATTCCCAAAGGCTACCTTTCCAAAACTCTTCGAGAGATGATGACTGGGCGGCCAGTGGTTTCAACTTATCATAATTTCCTCAAGGGCTTGCAGCTACATAACAAATATTTGGAGAATGAGAGCTTTTGCATGTGGAAAGGTAATTGGAAATTGTTTCAGTTATATCTTTGAAGGAGATTTGAGGATACTTGCTGAGGAAAAGTATTTGATCAGTTTTATCATAGAGGTAAATTTTGATTAATATTATTTGATTATCATGTTTGTGAAATGGGTTTTGCCAAGCCCTACATGATTTAGTCCTGGTCTTGGAAGAAGCACTGCCAGTTTGCTTGAATTATCTTCCTAGGAAAAGCTATTGAAGAGTGACTTGAAGCTTCTAAGGAAGTTAAATAGCCACAAATTTACACTTATTAAAAAAGAAGAGTAATTTATCACTTTGGATGAAGTTGAGTTGCAGAACTCCTCTCTCTTGCTGATCTCAGAGTTGAGCTCTAAATACTAAAATTGTGTCAAATACAAATACATAACTGTGTCAAATACATATTTGTGTCAAAGATGAATATATGTAAACTGTATTTTCTTTGTCTGCTTTTATGCTAATTTGGACAAAAAAGGACTTGACCCTGCAGTAAACAGTAATAAAAATTTTGGCCTTTCAGACACAGTGCTGGATTCTTCTCCCAACCAGCTGAATGAAATGAGTGACTACCTCAAGCTGATAGATACAGCTTTCTTCATCAACACCAGCTGCCCACCAGTTCTGAGACCAGAGAGAAAAGTGGATGTCATTATCCACTTAAATTACAGTGGAGGATCACAGACTCTGGTGAGGTTTTGAAGCAGTGATTCTTTATATGACTCCAGAAGCTGAATTGCCACTACAGCTTTCTCTCTCTCTTTTTTTTTTTTTTCCCCTTCCAGAAAATGATCTGCTTTTTATTAAGTGATCATATCAATGGTACTATTTACAACTGTGACCATGTCACTGCCTTTATCAGGGCTGTTTTCAGTGTCTTTCTGGGACAGGCATATGAACACAACATACAGAAGATGTCCTATTTTATGTATTTGTCATCCTGGTAACAAGTTCCTCAATAACTAAGTAACTTCTACAATGTAATAAATACATGAAGACATAGATGCACTGAATGTAGATATTTAAGAACCTGTGATCTGAGAAGCCACATGTAATCAAAGTTTCTCTATCCAAATCCTCTACTCTGCTCACTAAATCACAAAAATTTACCTGAATATAAATTTCAGTCATATAAATTTCAGTAAATAGTAACCCTGCTTTAGAAATATAAAATATTAGCAAATCTACCCAGTTTCTGTTACCCAGGATATGTTAAAATTAAGATGCTATGTTTGTTGCAGTGCATAGTTGGCATTATTTATAAACATATGAATCAATCTCAGATTGTCTATTGCAGCAAAATATTATTGGGTTTGGTGGGCTTACCTCAAGCTCTCTTTGTGTTATGTCTCTCCTCTCTGTTGAGCCAGCCACTGGACCTATTCTCAGAGTACTGTTTGGAGCATGGGATCCCATTCCCCAGCACAGAGCTGAGCCAGGAAGACCGGGAGCACCTGAAGGAGTGCTATGTGTTTGAGGACAACTTAGAGGCACCAGTCTTGGCCTATTTTCCACTGGTGTGTGATACCTTCCAAAAATACAAGGCACCGAGTAAGTTGACAGCAGTAATCATTTTTTGAGACTGTCTCATCCAACTGGATCCATTAAACTTGTTCCTCTTCCAAAACAAAACACTGGCAAGCTTCTGAGTTGGCTAAATTATTATATTCTCAGTCCAGGTGTGATGCATATAGTATTGGCCAGCTAATTAAGGATTGGAATGAAGAGGTTTAAAAATAAAAGCATGAGAAGCTGTACCTTGAGGGGAACCCCCTCTGACACTTGAAACAGGTCATGTAACTTCGATAATAAAGAAGAGGACACAGTTAGCAAGTTACATCCACTAGTAGCTTATGCTGCCACCAAACAGTCTCATGAAGAGATATGTTTACTTTGTTAACAAAGCTAGAATTTGCCTATTACTTTTTTACATGAAAAAATTGAGAATTGAAAAGGCTGAAAACTTGTAATGAAACAAAAGCTTTGCCAGGGTAACAAGCTCTGCTGATACCTATAATTTTTGAAAAGCTGCCAGATTGTTTCCTTTAGTTCAGCAATAGAAGAAATGTTTGTTTCACTAGGAAAAAAGAAACCTACTTGGCAAATTCAGTTTCAGTTTACAAATACTTTTACATGCATCAACTCCAATTTTTTTATTGCTAATCTTCTATGGTCCAGGAAACCTTACTCAAAAAATGAAGAAAAATCTATGAACCAGCTTATTGAAAAAGACCTCATGCTGTTCATTATCTTACTTGTTCTGCTGCATGTGCTTAAAATCTCAGCCACCTGAGAGGGAGGATTCCCAATCCAGGAACCCTCTGGTGTTATTTTCTACCAGCTGGTAGATAAAGAGCTGTCATCTCAGAACTCAACTGAAAAGTTAAACATACAAAATTCTAAATTTTAAAAAAATTAAATATTCGAATGCAAAACCTTATTTTAGAGAGGAAAGCATTTTGCATAGAAAAGCTTTTCTGCTGGTCAAGTCTGGACTGCAGCCAAGTACCAAACTAGTGGATTTATTGTCTGTTACTGTGTAGTTTGCAGTGCCTGGTAGCAGTTTTCCTCCTCAATACCTTTGCTGTTCTTGGCTCTGGTTTCAGATGTGGAGCGCAGTCCCGCAGAGATGGAGCAGGGAAGAGTGGATGTGTCCAACTGTGCTGCTCCCTATGGCACTGGCCTGCTTACGTACACTGAGGAGAATTTCAACAAGCTGCTTAACCTGTGCAGCTACAACATCCTGAATAACAAACACTTAATTCTACAGGCTTTGCAAACTGCAGTGCAACGAAAGAAGCAACTTAAAAACTATTCATCACCTAATTCAAATAAACACTCTTAAAGTGTATTTATAAAAAAAAAACCAAAACAAACCATCAGAAGGAGATACACAAATGTTTTGGAACTGGACTAATAAATATTCACCTGCTGCAAGCTCATGGATGTTTGTGATGGCAACAGAATTTGTGATACCAACTCCTTTGACTTCTGCAACAGTGAGATGGCTGGTGTGTAGCTGCTGCTACAGTTTTATTCCCACTGCCATCCAAATGACAGACAGAGTAGTGTTCATGAGATTCTTGTACTTGTCTTAGAAAAATGGCTTCTTAAAAAAGTATATTTAACTGGTCTTTCTTAGGTCTTATTTTCTGATTGTTGTATGCAAAAATATACATGCAGAGTAATAGCTACTGTTAAAATACTAAGTAGCCATGCATAATCTTATTAAAAATCATAATTTTGTAGTTGAAGTCATTGAAGTTTGGGGGTTTTATTAACTTCTATGGACTCAGTGCAGCTAGTGAGTTGTTCTGGGGAAAAAGTTACTCTTGCTTTTGATACCGAGAAATCAAATATTGAGTGAACAATGAGCTTTGTGAATAATCTTTGAGGAAAGATGAAAGAAAAGCTGTCACTTCAACAGTGGAAAATGAAAAATGGAAGGAAACTCTGCTTTCAAGGATGCAGGTGACTGGAATGATAACTCAGGAGATAACATTATATGTTGTTACCTCTAAGACAGTCCTTTTCTGTGCATCAGTTCATTTAACAGGAGATAACACCAGCAGTGTCTGTCAAGCTTTGCTGCAATATGAATCAAACTAGTAAGTCTCCCTTCATAAGAGGAAACTGTTGGCAGTAACCTTCATGACTCCTTTTCATAGATCTAAAGTAGTCAAGTCCAACAACTTTGCTTTTCCTCAGATACTGATATATCTTTCTGCTTCACTAGCCTTCTTATTCAGAAATCCAGTTTTTCGCCTTCTTTCCTTGCCCTTGGTTAGGATAATTTGATGTTATGTGTCACTTGTAAGACTGAAATAGTTTTCTCTGAGTAAAGAAGGAAAGGAATTGTCACTCTGACAGCTCATTTATGTTCATTAATTTATTTTTAAACAATAATGAAATGGAGGTTTAAAAATGTGATTATTTTCTTTTGCAAAGCATCTCTTCAGTATTTTAAAGATTTTCAAGATTCATTACTAGAGCTCCAGGAAGAATGAATATAAGCAGTTCAGTGTATGTGTGCCTGGTGTGTTCCACCCACTGGTTGCAACACTTGGCACTGGACCTTCAGCTTTACTCACCCAAGGTGTGGTGATGATGTGTGCTTTTGGCAGCTGATCTGGAAAATTAGAATGGCTTAGAATGAGCTGAGGAAAGACAGTCTGTTTTCAGAAGTCTGGGCCTATTTAGCAAGCCACTGAAAAATCTTAGGTTGCCTAAATGGTGTAGTTTAGCAGCTCAGTATTGTGACTCAAGTCATTCAGATGCTGGTGTTTGTGTTGGTATCTGGCTCCAAGCATCTAACACTGCATGAGACTAATATGTTAGCTGGGAGAGCCAAGCTGAATGGTCTTGTGAATTTTCTCCAAAATTAACTCATTTTGTTTCTTGTTTGGGGAAGGAAACACTTCTTCTATTAAAGCCCGTTGAGAATAGTATCATTAGAGTGATACTTCAGAATCTTGCCTGTGATGTGACAGTGAAAGGCAGCATGAAAGGACAGGGGAAAATATATTTGTTTGAATGGTTTGCCAGCTATTAATCAAAAAATAACAAAGGAGACACATTCATTATTACTGGTGGAATTTTTTAAGGATGGAGCTGAGGCTTAGGTTCAGTGACATATCAGCTGGATTTTTCAAAATGATTCAGCATTGATGCAATTGTTCTATTTAAGATCCAGGTAGGTCAGCAATTTTTTTTTTTTTTTTTTGGTAAACACCTGTTTGTGACCTGTCACACAAGCTCTGCTGAATGTAATGTCATGATCCTGGAAACAATTAGCTGTGAATCTTTACAGACTCTATTAGGGCTCAAACATCTCTTAGGCTGACTGCAGATGAAGTTACCCCTTTAATTAGCTGGTAACTTCCTGATATTCTGAGAATTGGTTCAGACTGAATTGGTTCAGAATTGGCTCTAGATTTCCCCGTAAAGGTCCTGGGCTATGTGTTTTGCCTAATTATTGGGTAATTAGCTGACACAGGCTGGTGCTGGTATTCCTCACACCTGTGGTCTGTTGGGGTTAGGGCAGTGAAATAGCTGCTTGAAGAGTACCTGAAGTGTTGAATGAACCTGGAAAGGTCAGGCAACCTCTGAGTGCTCCTGCAAAAGTAAAGAGAGGTGCTGTTGGATCTACAGAGCACTGGGAGGGGCAGAGATAAAGGATTTGAGCTACTGGTTTTTGAGATGAGGATTTCATTTGAAATTCTGTTGCAACAAATCTGAGGGCAGGGTTGCATATATTAACAGATGGGCGAACACTTTAGTGATGATTTTTGAATGGTAAAGCAGCCCAATTACTTCATGTGAGTGAGTAGGAGGAGTGAGAATTTATCTCTAAATCATATCAAGGGCATGTGGAGTTGTTTTAGTGTGGTTTCTCAATAGTCTTTTGAAAGTACAAGCCCTCCTTCGTATATGTCATAATCAGGATAGTGTCCCAAGCAAAAATATAATCCCCCACCCCTCCACCTAGTGTGATCTCTCTCACCAATGACTGAAAGAATATTGTAGAGTTTTGAAGAACGGGTGTTTTAAAGGTGTGGTACATAGAAACATGAAAATAAAATGCTAGCATATTAATCATATTATTATGAATGTTATGTATATATATATATATGGGGGGATATTTTTGTTTGGTTTTGTGTTTGGGCGTTTCTGTTTGGTTTTCTTATACCAGAGACTTCCTTAAAATTAGTGTCAAGCCAAAAATTACCAAGTCAAAGTTAAGTTTTTCAGAGTCTGAAATCTAACACCTTGGGATAGAAAAGTGACACTTGTCATCCCTGGTACATCTTGTCTGTGGAGATTATTGAGTTCAAGTCCTTTGTGCAGCTAGAATTGGACTTGAGCTGCTTGCTCTTCTTTGACTGGCAGGATGAGGTCTTCGTAGATTTTGTAGCTTGTGGAAATATACAAAAAGAAGGAAAACAAAGTGAAAGGAAATACCCAGGGAAAATCTTCAGCTACACATCTGGTAGTATGTTTGTTAAATTACTTAATTTGTTAATACTGAGTAATTATTTTCTAATGTGGCATCTGTATAATTTTTTAACATCTCTAGCATGTGCTTTGAATGTCTACCCTTCTTGTTATGTTCAGGGTGTGTAAATGATGACTGCTCCCATTGTCATCCCAAGGATGGTACAAGGATACTCTTCTCCTGCAGTAAAATGAAGTTCCCCATTAGTCATATATTTCTGTAGTCCTGGACTATCAGAAGGTGACAAAGTGGTACATGAGGTAATTGTGGAGTCTTGAAAGCAGCTCTTATTCCTCCCTGCGACCTATTGCAGTCGGATATACAATTATCTGAATGTCATGTTGGGGAAACTAGTGTTTGCAGCTGGCCAGTTTAGATCAGAATTATATCTTTTCTCCTGCTTGCCTTGATTAATACATAGATGCAAAATCATGTGCATATAAATGTGCACTTGAAAGTGCATGATAGCAGAGGAAAAATATTGTCCTTTTTACTCTCCTTGTTACTGCTCAGAGTTTTAAAGAAACTGTGGAATGTTCTGTCATCAGTTACACAGTCTCTAATCTTCAAAAATCCAAGTAACTAGTATATATATGATGATCTCTGGCAATTTGACATTATTAATGTGGAAATGTGATTGCTAAAAAGAGGCAATATATGGCTCTTTAGGCTTTGGGTAAATTCACACATGAATTTGCTTAATGTGTGCTTTATGGTTGTCTTTGAAATTGTCATTGAATTGTGGAAGAACTAATGAAAAATGCAAAGAACCCATTATGATACAAACCTTGAAAGTTGTAATATTTTTGAAATTATTATCCTAGGGACACATTTCTGCTTCTAAAAGTCCAGTGGGACAAACTGCAAATTCATGATTTTTTATTTTAAGCAGGTGGTGTAGTAGACACCAGTGAATAAGCCACAAAGTTCTCTCAGTGCTGACAAGGACTCACTGTCACAGGTGTTGTGAGCATTCAGTGCTTAGTTCCATCAGGTATTCACTGCATGAATGAGAAAATGTTGAGATTGCTATTCTTGCCTGCTATAAAGATGCCAGGTCTTTAAAAGATAGTGCATTCCAAAGCCTTCTTGTATGATGTGGACAGGTAATGGTAAGGAAGAAAATGCTAGCCAAAAAGCCTGATGGTGGTCATGAGCAGGAGAAGGAGAGATATTTAGGAACATGTTTTGGGAATGGCAATGATGACATTGTTTTGAGATGAGGAAAACAGTTTGAACATCAGGGAACCATTTAGTGGGTAACATGCACTGACTCTGGAATAATTTAATAAATTGTGAAGTGCTGTCTCATGTATGGATCTTAAAAACAATGTGGGTAAGAGAATGTAGTGTCAGGGAGTCTTTTATCGGCTGTGAAACAGCTGGGATGATATAAATGTGTATAGGTGTATATACCTGCTGGTACAACTTGGGCAAGGTGAGCTGGATAGCCTACCCTCTTTCCTTTGATAGTTTTGCGGATGTTTTTAATGAAAATGGATTCTTACTTTAAATTTTAATACTGGAATATTTCCAGGGAATATTCTTTTAGAAGCTGGAAAGAACTTGTGTGAGAGGGCAAGTAAGTGATTCTCAGCTGTGACTGCTCCACCTGAATTTGTTCCTAAGGGTTTAACACAGATATGAAGACAGAAGTTACAGGAGATATTTTGTCTTTGGAGTGGAGATGCACATGTTTATTGCAAGTACCTTTTGGTCATTCCTTTAAGGAGTATTTCAGATGCTGCAGATTCACATTTGGGCTATTTTTCTTTGATTCTGAGAAGACAGTGTAAGTGTATCTATGGAGCAAGCAGCTAGCCATTAAATACTTCAGATGGAAACCACCA